GAAATGAATAGCTTAAAATATCGAATCTGGTTACATAAGGTGAGCAAAATATTTGCTAAACATGTGAGATGAAGAAGTTTCAAAACATTTATCCTAAGTCAATAATAAAGTTCTGGCAATTATAATTGTGGATTAACATGGTATGGAAAACTGATCCAAATAGTAATGAAATTCAAATAAAGGAAAAGTCGTATCATTTTACAGAGACTGCAAATATCTAAGGTCTTAGTTGGCTACTCTCCAACCAGAAGCACATCTCTCTGACTGAACCTTCTCTTGTATTCATGAACTTATGATGGATAAGTTCATAATCTTGAACTCAGGAACTTAGCACGACTTATCAGCACGATTTATATTAACTTACATGCTCCAAGTAACTTTCCAATGCTCTAAAGTTCACAATAAATCCCATACCTGTTATGCTGCTTTTTTTTTCTATATGACAGCTATTCTGTTCATTATGAATTCTAAGATTTTCACAATAACTCAACGGAACTTCACCTCAGTGAACATCAGACAAGTCCTCTCTCCTTTCCAGAAAAGACTTCTGCTCACTGTATTTTCTTTACTTATAATACACTAGGGAAACGACTAGTAAAGTTATACACATTATTAGGTGCACCCACCTCGCCCTCTCCAATCATCCCAGTGCTAAACTTGACCCAAAATGTGTTCTCAGAGGCAGTTAAACCCGAGAAAAGGGTAAAAGATGACTCACAGAACTTCTAACTCATTAGAAAAATGCATTCGAAATCATAATCATCTCTTAGTAGGTTATTGACCTTCTAAATGTTTGCCAGTTTGTAACTGTAGGTGGCATTTATTTCAGCTACACACAGCAGCAGAACAGCACAGTGACAAATCAAGGAAAAAGGACTTTGTGCCTTCCTGAGTTGTTTTGGTTTTGTTGGCTTTTTTTATTTAATCGCAGTATCTTTCTTAAACCTTCATCTGGCCTTCTATTTGGGGCTCCTCAGTCTATGAGATTACCAACCAATATAATCAGCAGTACATTCTATAGCTCCCTTTCCCTGAAATTTACAACTGTGCTGGCAGGGCAGCTGATCTGTGCTGTTATTGACTGAGTTTGCACCAGCAAACCAGCACAGCATTGCGGAAAAAGAATTAACAAGCACTGAATTGCACTGAATCAACTACAAGCTGTAAGTCATTAACATCCATTTCACTGGCTCCTCACTAACTTCCAAATACATGACTCAGTGTACTTAACATGAGTATAAAAACAGAACTGAAGACAGCCAGAACTGGTTTGGTTATTTGAGGGGTTCTGTTCCGTATATTACAATTCCCTCGGTCTCAGCAAAAAGGAGATCAAGCAATGTATCAAATACCAAAATAAAGATGGTGCTATTAATGCATACTAGAAAACTGACTGATAACAGAAGCAGAATTGGGAAAGGTTTTGGAGTAGTTATGAAGGTAGTAAAGCTCCTAAGGAAAAGGAGAAAAATTAGCTCCACAGGTAAATAATGTGAAACAGAGAAATTGGAAATGTTTGAGTGGGCAGATCAGGCAACACATAAAACAAGAAATGAGTGATTTCCATTTTTTTAAAAATGAAAATAGAGACTCAAATATCAGAAAACATGAAAAATATTTTCTGTTTCTAGGGATGAGGGGAAGACAGAACCATAATGCCAAAATATCATAGTATCACTTATGAAATATCACTTACAAGGTAAGCGAAAAGCAGTTTTGCTCATTGACAGTTCATCTTGAAAAGAATAGAAATAATCAAGTATTCAAGAGCATCTCATTAATAACTTGTACCTTTCAGACCAGCCTTGGAATTATGCATACAATATAATGTTTGCACTGGAAGAGTGAAGCACAAACATTTATTCCCTGGGCTGCCACACATTATCTGTAACATGGAAGCCCTTTCAATGAGCTTCACAGGAACAGCTGTTAAGGAACGAAGACTATTCAGCCAACTTCATAATCTGGAGGTTATCAGGTTCTCTCATTTCATAAATATTATTTGAGTAAAGATTCTATTAAATTAGAACTCTTCTGATAGTATGAATTTCCCTAAAAAGAGAACTTTACTTTCAGAAAGTAATGTTGACTGAGGTTGCATAGAACTCTCTGTTAAACTTACTGATTGATAGCAGCTGAGCCAAGTGGACTTAGTTTCCAAAAAAAAAGAGGAAAAAACATTCTGCCCATGACATTTTTTTCAGTTTAGAGAATACAGCAAAAAAACCCCAGCAATTTGATCATCTACTCTACTTCCTCTGAGTTAAAGACAGAGTCCTCAGAGGAAGTTTCAGACATTACATCTTATTCACCCTGGTGCTGACCCAGAAAGCCATGAAGATATTGGCTGGAGCTAATACAGCAACCTCCAAAATTTGGAAGAACCTAAAACAAAAAGGTTTTTTGTTAAGATATAATGAAGACACTGGGGAAAAACATTACTTCAGGAGAAAGAAAATTCTGCTAAAAAGTTTAAACAAAGTTGTGGGTAGGAAAGCAAATGGACAGAGAAACAAAACTCCTCACACCACAAACATTTAAAAAGAGTTAAAGATTTTCTAAGAAAATGAAAAACAAAACCGCAAAAAACTGGTCAGTTGTATTAGAGAACAGAAAACTAGAAACAGCAAAGAAAAGAATAATCACAGTTTGCTAATGGAGTGGGAACAGACTTTAAAGGCAAACCTCTATGTCTCCAAAATTTTACAAACTTTTTTATCATTATCAAAACACAGTTAATTATGGTTATGGAATAAAGAGCAGAATAGGTGATGGGAAGAGGGTAGAGGAAACTAAAAATTTGAGGTAGTAAGGTATTGTGCTTAAAAAAAGATCTTGAAAAAAATGCAGAATAGGATAATACTAGCAAAAGAACAAAGGTGTATAAAGAAACTGCTTATTGGACAACACTGGAGACTGGGAAGCATAACGTTAAAGAATAAACAAATTAACAAGCTGAAAAATAAGGTTCTGTTCAAACCTTAAAATTAGTGTGAACCAGGGAAAGAATTTATTTTAAGAAAGCTCTTAAGAAATTCAGAAAAGGCAGACATTACATGGTTTATGAATCCAGTCAACTAGATTGATCCAGTCCCAAACCACCCTGTATTTCTAAAAGGTCTCCCTATTGCTACAGAAATACTCTGGAAAAAAAGAAAAGAACCAGTAAGAAAATAAAGCCCCTGAGAAAGCAGTTAGAATAGTGAATTTGTGCCAGAAAATGAAGAAACAGCTTGTACCAAAAACTGTTCCTAAACACATAGTGCAGTAAGGGAAGGGCTGACAACAACTGCCATAAGTGTTTTATATCAAACAGTAGCCTCATCTTAAAAAAAAAAAAGGAAAACCACCAATCCCTTGCCAGACTTGTGTCTAACTTCTGCAGTTCATATTGTCACTGACAACTTCATGGGTTCAGTTCCTGCTTTTCATTGCATTGTTGCTTGACACAAAACCAAAGAACAGAGGAGCAACTCAAGCACATCATCATCAACATATCTTTGTTGCAATAACTTAGACTAGTCCAAGCTGATGCCTTATAAAATGTTCCTGCTCAGCTCCACAATTCTTCCAGAAAAGTTAAGAGACCAGCCTTTTGGAAGAATACATTCTCTTGTCTGAAAAACCTACCACAGAGCTGATGCTGCTGACCCTGCCAATGACCTTAGACAACAACATCTATGATCTTAACAAAAAATCACAGCAAAAAACAGCATTCAACCTACATCACTTTATCCTTTTTCCTCCACAGTGGCAACAGCAACCATCTGTCTCCTCCCGGGTCTCCATATCTACCTCATACTATCAAAGCATAGCAGAACTGTGATGGAACATGTATCACTTCTCTTCAGAAAGAAAAAAAGGCAGCAAAAGAGCTTTGTGTCCAGGGAAAAGAGTCCAGGGCTCCCCAGGATGCAGGAAGAGATGTTTTGTGCAATTAGAGCTATGATGAGAAAGCAGAGTTCACAAGAAAGAGGGAAAAAGGAAAAGCTGCTTCCTATTCCTCTAGCTGACCAACCTCCAGTTGAAAATCTCCTTTCTCCAGAAACAAAACATTTGGCTGAGAACCTTTAAAATGCTCCTACCATAAGGACTGAACTGAAAAAAGACAAATATTTTCTTGAAACCATCACCAACATTTAGCTAGACACTGAACCATCAGAGTTCTGTGAATGTAAGCAAGTCCTCCTCTATTTGATTTCTTTGCTTGCAGAATCTCCCCAAACCTGTGTAGAGTTGTGCTTTTATATGTTTTATCACATTTGTATTATGTATAAGTTCGTTCCATGTACCCCCACCCCCGCTCTGTAACGACCCCCCGGGTCTTTCCGTCTCTCCCCGCGGTTTGTTGTCCCCGAGAAATTGCCAAGTCACTGTGTTTACCCCCAGATGCCTGTCTGTCACTCGGTATCCCTTCCCCCAACCTAGAATCTTCTACCCAGGAAGCCGGGCGATAGGCAGACGACCTGGGACCCTCCACCTGTCCGCCCCCCATTGGATGTACCCCTGCACCCCACTGCCCTCAGACCCCCCGTGGCGTTACCCCATTGGCTGCCCCAGTTTCCCCCTGTCCCGTACTTAATCCGCGGGTGCGGCACGCCCCCGGCTTTCTCCTGGCTGGCACCCGCGAGCCGCCGCCGCCCCGCTCGAGCAGCCGCCGCTTCTCTCGGCCGGCTCCGGCGCGCGCCGCTCCGCCCGCGGCGCGGCACAGACAAACACCGGCGCGGCAAGCCGCGGCCCCTTCGATTATTGCTCTCCCCGTTGGGTTGCAATAAAACGGAATTCTGCCCCCCGGAGAAAGACTCTCTCCTTTTATTTGCCGTGGGACTCGCTGCTTGCTCTCAGACCCACACAGCCCCGCCCAAAGCCCGCGAGGGCTCAGCGGGAGGAGCTGAAGATCTGCCCGCGCTCCCCTTTCCCCTGGAGCTAGCTGGGATAAGGGGGGGAAAGAGAGCATACCGCAAACCTGGTCTTCCACAGGGCTGCAATGAACCACTTACCTGTGGGAAGCCCTTTTCCCCTCAGTCTCTCCCGAATAGCCTGGCTCCTGTCTGGCTGCAATTTTCTATCTCCATTACAAGACAGCTGATCCATCTGCAAAAAAAGGCAGTAACATAAAGTCAAAATGTTGGAAGAGCTCATATTTGTATGAAACAAGCATTGTTTTATGCAAATGCATGTAAATATTAGTCAGTGTGAAACAGTTAAGTGCAGAATGGGAGTTTAAACTTTTCAATAAAGAATGGATTCATCGAATTATCTATATTTGAACAGTGTGCACTTTATTTAACTACACAGTCTACCTTTTTTCTACCAAGAATAAATTAAGATCACAAGGATGTAACTTAAACATATTCCACCCCTACTGCAAACTGAAGGGACAGCAGCACTCAAAAACCATCTTCCATGATCACAGCATGACTAGAACTTTCCTAGTTCTACTGATGGGTTTTCTGCATAACAGGAAGAACTGTCTTGTACCCCCACAGGACTTACTGCACATGTCAAATCACACGCACCCATTTGTGAGCAGCCTCTTCAGCCCCTCAGGCACATTCCTTTCACAAGTCAGCCTTAACTACTCCCACTAACTTTTCACTTAACCTTATTTTTTTAAAATTACTACTTCCCTAGGAAAAACTTTCACATGTACAATCATTCAAAGAAGAGTTTATTTGCTACACCAAAACATTCTTAGAAAGATCTTTTTGTATAGTGGCAGTGTAACCTGGACAGCAGGAGGGAAGACAAATCTAGCAGACTTCACAGTTAAAATATAACTCAGTTAACATGAAACAGACTGAATCAGCCTGAGGCTATATTGCCCTTTACAATGCATATTAACATGGGAAATGAAAACTTTCAAATGGGACCTCTCAGCTGTGCTCCAGATACCACCAAATGACCAGTTATAGAGATAAAACCCCTTGAGCCTTTGATGAGGCCCATCAAAATTAGAGCAGGTGAACCTTGGAATAAAAGTTGTACTCTGCCTCTGAAAAAACAAAATTTATACATTTTTCTTGTTAGCTAAAAAATTCCAGCACACATACAGATCACTGAACATTAAAACCAACCGGGCTGGCTGGCTAAGGTGCACAAAAACCTAGCAGCACAGCTATGCTGTCATTGCTCTGTTAACTCTTGGATCTGTTCAGCTAGGTTTTTTTCTTGTCTTCTTGCAAAGCCAGTGCAGTGACACGTTCAGAATTATAAAGGTCATTGGCAGAGGAAATAAGCAAAGCTTCAACACTGGATAACTGCTTGTCCCACTCCTTCATTAACAACATGGACAGGAGATTGGGAGTACACTAGTTGGATTCAGCTCTCCACTGTCTTTGGCAGGCTGGTCTAGATCAGTCCTGCACACCAACCCCAGACTCCCTGAAAGCCTGCTGACAAGAACAAGAGGAGGGAAAGCAGAAAACTTGCTGAAATGGCCATCAACAACTTGGAGAATAATGACTCACTTTCCAGAGGGGCTGTTTCTATAGCTTGGGGCCCGATTTAAAAGTTGGGTCTTTATTTTAACAGCACCACTGATGAAGGCCCTGTAGCCTTTTATTTCACTGAACCACAGACTAGTTCCACTTGGCAACTACACAAGACTTCAGACACTACAGTGAGGGGCACTGGACTGACAGACATACCTCACAGATTAGACAATGCTTTGTGGAGCTCAGGCTCAGCACTATTTCTGGAGGCCCGGCATAATCAGTTGCTGTCAAATATTAGACAAATGCAGGGACCTCTCACTTTCTGCAACCATTTCCAAACCAGATATATGAAGAAACTATCTAACAATTAGATCATACCTTTTTATTAAAAAAAAAAAAAAAAAAAAAAGAAGCATGAGCAAATTAAATATTTTTCATGCAATTTCAGTGTTGTCTCTCTAGACAGCAATTTTTAATTTACATGGACCTGCTGCAGAGAGTCCAGAGAAAGGACACCAAGTTGATTAGAGGGGTGGAGCACCTCTCCTATGAGGCAAGGCTGAGAGAATTGGAGTTGTTCAGGCTGGAGAAGAGAAGGCTTGGGATGACCTAATCGTGACCTTCCAGTACATGAAGGGAGTCTACAAGAAAGACGGAAAGGAAACTATTTACAAGGGCATGTAGTGACAGGACAAAGGAAAATGGCTTCAAAACTGAGAGAAGATTTAGATTAGCTATTAGGAAGAAGATCTTTACTGTGAGGGCGGTGAGGCACTGGCACAGGTTTCCCAGAGAAGCTGTGGATGCTCTTTCCCTGGAAGTGTTCAAGGCCAGGCTGGATGGAGCTCTAAGCAGCCTGGTCTTGCAAAAGGTATCCCTGACCATGGCAGGGAGGTTGGATGTAGCTTTAAGGTTGCTTTTAACCCAAATCATTCTATGATTCTATGACAATTTATGGTCTTCCTTTATTTAGTTAAAATTATTTAACTTTTCTGAAGTTATGCTGTAATGGTTTAAGTGGAGAGAGAAGTTGCCCATCAGGAATAGTAACTTTGCACAATGAGTTCATGTAATTTCTTTCACTTCTAAAAACAGTTTCGTCATTATTAGACAATAAAATCCTCCACAATTCTCATATTGAAGAGCTGAGCAGAAGTGCAAGAAAACTGGCACACCGCCTTTCTGTTAATAAGCAACTCTCCAAAAGTCAAGCATATCTTCAACTTAAAGTAAACTCACAGCAATCATTTCTGAAGCATTTCAAGTAACAACAAGTCTAAGCCTTGCCCTACACTTCATCACCTTGTTCTCCCATTTCTCCCTACATTTTTTTCAGTGCAGACAGTTAATGAAATGACCTCCTCAGAAACCCATGAATGCATGTTCCAGGAGGAACTGTCAAGTGCACACTGCTACATGGGGACAGAAGCCATTCTCTCCTCTCAACACTCACCCGTGTCAAAATTGCAACATACCAAAACAAGAGGAAGAAAGACTGCAGAGTGACTCTGAATTAGCACTTTTGCTCTCTTCCTGCTCACCTCTATTGCTTCCTCAAATGCTGACACAGACTTACCCCAGACAAGCTTCCCAGAACCAGTCTGACCAACTGCTTCACATAGGAGAAAGAAGGGGCACAGTTGCTGTTCCTTATGTGGGCACTGCAGGCATCCAGAACAGTCCTCACAGACACACGGGCGTAAATGACATCTTCACACATGCCCAGGAGGATGCTGTTGAGATGGTCTCCAAGCTTGATAGGCTAGTGACAAGGACAGGGGAGATGGGAGAATCAGTTTTAATAGTGGCTTGGGGAATGTTCAGAAACAAAAGACACTCAAGAATATACATTAACTATTTATGAGACTTAGTGCCTACATTATCTGAGTGCCTACTCAGATAATGTAGTGCTACTTTATTATTATCTGAGTGCTAGTTTGAAAGTCATCGTGTAGGATGTGAAAAAATAGTGGCTGTAGAACAGGAAAGAAGCATTCAGCCTCTGGATTCAATGCTACAATGACCTGGCCTAAACAAGCTGCCTGATCTGTAAGGTCTGGACACAAATGACTTTCTCAAACATTTAATGAGTAAGTGAAAATAAAGCAAAAGGGAGAAGGTTCAGAGGAAGTTTTAATCTTTAATTTTGACCATTCTGCCACTCACAAGTATAAAATTCAAACCTCATCACAGTAATTTTGTACAACCCTCTGTGCTCACTTTCTGCAGTTCTTCACCTTAGCAATATTTTGCAGCACATGTGTTAGCATTCCCAAATTCAGTGATATCACCAAACAGTACCAACAAAAAGTAAGGAATAAAATAACCAAGCCACTGGTTAACAAAGCAGAGCTTCATAACTGCAGGATAACACCCATACAGCCTAAAAAAAAAAATAAATAAATCTGGATGTCTTTCTGCTCTCCCCATTCAGTGAATGCAGCACATTGTGCATGGAATATCCCTCCACAGGGTATGCAGCAGTCAGTGATAACATTTGCTGTCAGGTGCCTCCAGCACTTGGGACCTGAGCTTTCTGATCCGCAGCTCTCCCAAAGTGGGTGGTTACCCACAAAGTACAAAACAAACGCTGTCAAGCTTTTTGCATCACAGAGTGCTTCAAACAATTGCACTCTTTCAATCTTCCCTGTGTGAGCACTCTTAAGGTGAACCATAAAAAAGACACTCTGGACCACCCTGATTTAATTAATATAGGCCTTTCCCATCTATCTGTTTATCACTTCTAACTAATAATAAAAATAATGTATGTGAATAAGATATGAATCTCATGTTCAGCCACACTCCCAGCAGAGAAGCAGCTCAATAATGAACACAGGTAGACAAATACAGAAAAGGTATTAAAAAAAAGGGAGAATCTGTGCATGCAAATTAATGCACTAAAGTAATGCCATGCACAAGACTGTTCTTTTGCCAACACTAGCTCCACAGGACAGAGTAACCATCTGACAATGTCCCAAAGGCAAATTCCTTCCAGGCATACCCTCACCACATTGTCTTTGGGGAAATACTGTTTTGTTAGCAGGTAGAGCATGACTTTCCACTACATTATCAGAAACCATTGCCACACTTTTGACACCAAAGAAAGAAACAAAGAAAACAGGGACTAAAATTTATGCCTACATTTCCTCTCAACACCTACTTTCTTTAAGTCACCTACGTTAAGGCACTCTCCTACTACTGTTGAATACTGCTCCTTTCATCTCCTACAAGACAGGGGAGCAAAGAAAGAGAAAAGCCTAGTATCTAAGAAAACTCTAGGGATTTTGGGACAGGCACAGTAGACATTATGAACAGGTACCCCTAAATAGTCAGAGCTTCAAAGTTTTTAACCTCACTTAGCTGCACTCAGGCAGCTACTTCCAAGTAAGTACAACTGAGATCCCAACTACCACTGTGTTAAACAAAATATTAGGAACTGAATGCCTGAAGTGCTGAAATCTTTAAAAATTTTCTTCCTTAGTCTGGTATATAACATCTACTAGTAGGAAAAAACCTAAATCTGAACCACAAACTGCTTCTCCCACAGCTGCAAGTCCATCATGAAATGCTTTGTCAGAAGCATTTCATCTTACTTTCACTATTCTAGATATATTGGGAGTGGGGAAGGAGCACTGAGGAAGATAGTGAATCACATTTATCTTCAGTCAGTTTTGGCAGGACAGTCTAAGAGTTTTGCTGGGTGTGCAAAATAACCACATTGAACAATAGCACTCAGCTCTACAACAGTCTACAACTGTGTCTTCATTGACTGACAAATCAATAGCAAGAGTCTACTCCCTGTTCCAAACAATTCAAACCCTTTCTCGGCCATTATGAAAGGTAAGTATCTGCATGTGCCAAGTCCAGATTCACAGAAGCTATGGCAGGCAGCATGGAGAATAAGTTTATTATGTGTAAAACAACCATGTTAGTTCCAAATTTATTTTTATATAAGCCTAAACCAAATCAAATTATTTTCTCCTTTGTCAGCAGCTTAAACTGCTGTCTTTCAGCCTAAGGCATTATAGGCTAGACCAGCCCAGATGTATCTTCATGTAAACTAACATAAATGTGCCATCAGCACCTTCTCCCTGCAAGACAACACCACATTTGACAAGAAAAAGCTCCAAGTATGGGAAAGAAAACTTTGTACTGTGCAGTGACTGGAACAGACTGCCCAGAGAAGCTATGGGGTCTCTCTCACTGAACCATCTGGATGCAATCCTGTGCCATGTGCTCTGGGATGACCCTGCTTGGGCAGGGAGGTTGGACCCACTATGGTCCTTTCTAACCTGACCCATTGTGTAAAATTCTGGGAAAGGAATCTCAGTCCTCAATGTCTCAGCATGACATCGACATCCTGCTTTGGAAACTCAAATCCAGAGTCAAACAACATCAAGTCTGAAGTTGCAATATTAAACAAAACCAAATCTAAACTTACCTGACTTTGAGGTACTTCGTGGTCAGCTCCCCAAAAGAGTGCCATACCAAGAGAATAGATGTGGACCTGCCATAAGACACGAGATATCTGTCAACTCATTGAACAAGGCTGGAAATGCAAAGCAGACTTAAAGCTATTTAAGCTCAGCCATCTTTCACATCCTACCTCTCCTTTACATGAGGTTCAGAGAAGCAAATCCTAGTGCTACAGAACATACAGCATCCAACCAGTGCCCCCCTTCTTCTCTGCTCAATTTTAAGCTTCCATCTCACACTGAAGCCAGAAACTCATGAAATCCATACAATCAGCCTAGTGTGGGGTGAAGATTGCATGGTTGTGTCCAAGGATCCTTAAAACCTGTGTCTGAAGGCAAGGCGGACCTTAGCACAACTCAAGCAGGGGGTTATCCTAATGAGACCACAAAAATTGAGATCAAAGGAAAAAGAAGGAATGAACAAAAGAATATAAACATTGAAAGCAGTACCTTAACCTATAACTGATATTTTAAGGTATAAATACATGAACCATTACACATATGATTAACAATTAATATATCTTCAACATAAGACACCCACCAGTAAAGGGAATAAAGCTTTTAAATACTGCAGAATTAAGAACACAGGCACATGCTGGCTCTGTAGGTGACTATCAAAACAAAACAGGTGAGTGTGGAAAGAAAGGTCGGTTTTTCTAAACTGTGCAATATACACTAGTCATGGCTCTTTATACCATGTTATTAGCAATATTTATGGTACTTAAAGCAACAAATATATTGAATAATTCTGAAGGCAATGAACAACAATTACAAGGAAAAGCAATTACAAGAAATAAATTAAAAGCTCACATAAGTCAGCCTCTTCACCAACTAAAAGCAAACATTTTACTTAAATTCTAGAGATATCATTTGACAAAAATCTTAACAGATTAGGACAGTAGTCAGAAAAATGCATAAAATGCATCAAGGGTTCTAAGTCAATACCGCTGTCCTATCCTATCAGAAAAATTCTTTTTCAAATACTGAGAAAATTGCTCTCTGTCTGGTTTATTATCCATTACCCTTTCAACTGAAAAGCTACAAAGTTCTTCCTTACATATCAAGATATACCACAGCTACACAAAAAAAGTGAATATGCTTTCATGGCAATAATGAATGCAAAAAAAAACTTTTCAGAAAAATCCAACAAAACACAAAAGACACAAAAACAATCAAGAAAAAGCCCCAACCAAACAAAAATGAAGTTCCCCAACTCTCAGTCCCCCAATAAATCAAGAACAGCAATTAAAAGACTGTTATAAAATTAGTTAATTCTAATTAGAGACACTGTCATAGTCCTAAATCTGTCAGTTTTCAAGAAAAATTAGGACAAGGGTCAGATACATTTCTGGGTTACCCTCTTTGGAATCTGGAGTTGGACTTGATGATCCCTTTCAAATCAGGGTATTCCATCATTCTGTTTCTGAGCTTCAACATACCCAAATATATTTCCAGAAATGAGATGTTAACTAAAACTTGCTACTCTACTAATCTATCTGAAAACAGCTTTCAAAATAAGAGCATTTATTCAAAAATTCTAATTAATGCTTGTACTATACTTAAAATATGTTCCACAATAAATAGATCAACATGAAATTAATTCCTCAACTCAATCTCGATTCTAATTTTGAGTGGTTTGGTGACTATTTCAAATAAGTTTGCAGTTACCTCAGACATATTTTAGATTCAAATTGACTGTGTGTCTTGGAATCAAAGGGGTATTCATTTATTGACTGTAATTTATTTTTAGTATATCTCCTTGAATACACCGTTAATTTGTATTAGCAAGTACAATCATAAATGAAAAGACAATGGTAACCCTATCACTGTCCTAAAAAAAGGTCTTTAAAAACGTTAAAAACAAGGTGTTTTTCTGCCTTCAGCAGCTTTTAGTAGAACAATCAAAAAGGAAAACACCAACTATTTCCAGTAAATGAATTCAGTGAACTACTGAGCCAACTGTGACAGAAGAAAAAAAAATGTTTAAATGAGTCAAAAGTTATCACAGTCAGCAAAGCAAGATCTGATTCTGTAATCTAAGAAACACAAAGTTGACATATTCTTTACAAAGAACCAGTGTACCACCTGAAACAGAGTTTAATAGGAATGCAAAGGGAAGCAGTCAAAAAAAAGAGGGATGTACATATAAGCTATTTATCAGCCTTACCAACTTCAACTAATAAAGCCATAAAAGGACACCAGTTTTTGTACAAAGCTATGTTTCAGGGGGCTTCCTTCTTCCACATAAGCAGGTAAGAGGACCACCTTCCTTCCAGCAAGCAAGGTGATGCTGACACCAGGGAAGAAATTCACACAGCCCCAATCAGTAAGGATTAGTCAGCCCTGAAATGTACAGAGTGCCAGTCATTGGTCATTGCCTATTGACAGCTCTGTGTTGGCATTTATAGGCCACAGAGGTCCCTCTGAATGCTTCCTTCCTAAAGATTAAGAAACATCACAGCATGGCTTTTCACAGTAACAGTCCTCCATTTATTCCAAAAAGAAAAAAAGTAGCATTCTGAATACTAGCACAGAACAAAGGATGCAATCAGCTCTGATCAAGTTCACAAGCTTGTCACTTCAGAACTATTTTTTCTGCCATTTTTAAAGGCCAGTTTTGTACAATAACTTCAGAGCTGGCACTAGAAGCAATGCTACTGTCTTCAAAACCTCTTGAAAGCAAATAAACAATTCCAACAATATGACTACAGGATTTGGCAGCTGCATCCCACATAACTGAACCTGAGTCTTCATTGATGTTGGTGTTATTTTTACTTCTGTATCAAAACTTTCAGCCTAGGTTTCTAATTGTTTAAAGCTTTGCTATAGACAAAACTCTAAACATATTTTATTATACCATTAATTTTAACAATATGCAGGACAAGAAGGATGTCTAAAGGGCTTGGGAGTAACCGTGGATTTTCATTAGGTGTTTGGTGATATAGCCCTGAAGAAAATTGACTGTATACAAAAAGCTGCTAAGGCAAAATATTCAACACAGAAACATATGTTTTAGTAGTCTTTGTGCATACAACAGCCATTGATGCCAATACCACTTTCCTCTGAAGTAAGAGCTATTTCTTCCTGAAGGAACACTGCCAAACGTCATAATTGTTCCCAGATTACAACACTGTCTGTGGCTAGCTTCTCTCTAAGGATTATTGATCCAGGGAAGCCAAGGAGATAGAAATAGCTCAGCTTCCTTTTCACTCCCACAGCTAAATATCTTTGGCTAAGCCAAGGGAATGGTTTTCTGAGGCAAGTGTTACCATTCACAACGAATTCGTGTCAAGAAGACAGCTGAGAAGGTAATAATTTTGACTGTACTTGTCAGTGACCTGGAGGTGACCACATATACAAACCTTACCTGTCTGAATATTTACCCTTGTGAAAGAGTTAAAAAGGAGAAGTGGAAATTCTGTGCAGCCACTGCCCAAGTATGTACGTGGCCAGGGCTTGTACAGACTCTCCCTCACAACTGCATACAACTATAATCACTATTCCACTTTAACCAGAAAAAACAAATTAGGACGATCCCTCCCCCCACCAACAAAAGAAATTACATGAATCACGAACCATGGGGAGACAAAAAGGACAGTTTAAAGCTATTTTGTGAAGGGATCAACAGCAAAACACCAGAGCTATCTGCCAAGGAAGAGGCATTGTACCTTTTCAAAATCTGACAGGGATGACAGCGAGTAGTTCTGCAGAACCTCTGGTGCTGTGAACGCTCGCAGGTCTTGTTGGGACACATTTTCATCAGTAAATGACACACTGCCAGATGGAAGCAACAGGAGAGACCATGGAGAAATGATGAATCCCAGAGCAGTAGGATCAGCTGTAATTGAAAAGGGAAGAAAAAAAACAAAAGCCACACTGAAAATGAAGCAATGTTATTTGATGCCCTTGCTGGATGTTAGTTTATTATCAGCCTACATACTATTACTGGAATAGATTCATGCTTCCTTTTCCACCTGCGGTGTTTCACAATCACCACAACAACCTCCATTTTAATCACACTGGGGAGTAACACCTATCTTTTATGACTATTCTTCGCTTATTATTCATACCAACAAACTCAGGAAGAGCCTGCTAAAATACTCACAATCCCCTGTCCTGAAGTTATTTCATTTATGTTACAGTTGACATATAAAATGTTCCCTTTCTGCAGTGCACATGTCATTAAGGCTAATTCCTACAACAGGAATGTACTTTGCTCCAATCCTAACATAGCAGTACAGCAGTAGAAATGCTCAGAAGAGAATAGACCAAGGAAAGGAAAGGAAAATACTCATTTGAGTAGCTAATAGAAGGGGACAAAACAAAAGAGTTTTGGGGCACAGAAGTCCTTTTCAGTCTGAAGTGAAAAAATATTACAAATACCTGAAAATTTCGAAACTGAAGCACTGAAATTGCAGAACCAAAAGTAACCAAGATATGCAATTTGCCAGCTAGGTTTTTGATGTCTGATGATACTGCTGTCAAACTAACTTAAAAAAAAAAAAACAAAAAAAAAAAAAAAACCCAAAAACAATTACCTTAAGTCAAAATATTTTTTCTACACTGAAGGAGACATAAAATAAAGTAAGTTAAGTAAAACTAATGTAAAATTAAGTACACTAAAAGTTTACTTAAACCAAGTTAAACTAAAAGTTAACTTTTATTTTTTCATAGGCAAAAAGGCAATAGTTCTGCCTGCTGCTACACAATATATCAAAGACCTGAGGAAACACAATTTGAATATGTCCTTTTCTCTTAACATAGTAAGCAAAACCAGCAGAATAATAATTTCCTCCATTAGCACCACTCCTAACATTTTCCATTCTCCAGCTCAGGATATTCCTACAGTGCTGGTTCCTAGACTGATGAACTATCTTGAAATCTAGAATATTTCTAATCTCCTAGGAAATGTATTAAATTACTGCTTGCAGGTATCAGGTGTAAAAGGATCTCCCAAGTAAGTCCTTCAATTTTCTAACCCAACTTCCTCTGAAACAAACAGAACAAGTGCTGGTCGCTGTTGTGGCAGCAAGTTCAGATGTTAAAAAAAAGAAACATAAAGATGGACAGGCCATTCCTATTATACGTAACAAGAAAATACCACATTATATAGCAAAACTTCCAAAAATATTTTCAGGAAGACTACCTTAGTTGGCCTTTGACTTTCAAAAATTATCCTGTAGGTAACTATTGGATTCTGCACCACTGCTATGTGTATTCACCACTGATATAAAAACCCTAAACAACCAACATCTTATAATATTTTAAGATGTTGAGTCCCAGCCCATGAACCTTAAGAAATGTAGAGGCTTTAGTCTTAACATTTTGTATAACAAATACTTGAAATACATAAAAACTCTTCATATTCTGAAACATGCTAAGACAAAAAAATAAAGCCTCCCAATTAGTCTGAAGTCTTCCCAGTATTAATTTCAACAAACTTTAGAGCATTTGTCCCCTATAGATGTAGAGTCTGAATTTATTGATCCACCCCCACACAAAAATCTTCATGACCTCAAGCAATGTAAAATTAATGTCATAAATAGTAAATTTAGAAAAAGACTGATTTTGCCAGGCTCATTTTACTGACGTTTTCTCAGCTTCCTCCTTCAGTAGTTTATAACTAATGTGCCTACATCACAACTCCAGGGAATCTCATCTATTGCTATGAGGGATGAGGATAAAACAATTAATTCTCCAGTTTCTTCCTTAAGGCATGCATCATAAACCAAAATAACTATCTCAAAGCTCCAACCAGGTAGATACACCTAAGGAAATACTTTGTAATAACACTAATGTGTTTGCACCATGGATAAAATGTAGCAAAGGTGCAATGCATCAAACAGCCAGCAACTATAGGAAAACCAAAGAAAGTATTTTCCAGTGATAATAGTGATAATATTCATGTCATCTGCTTAAGCTTTCAGAATAATTTACAAGAGCAGTAAGGGTAACATACTCCTGAAAATACCAAGGAAAATGACAAAAAAAAAAAAAAAAAAAGAGTTTCAACACCCTTTTTTAAAGGCACTAGAATTCAGGATATGGCTCCTGGTCAATTTTCTATCCATTGGGCTTTCAGCTCTGCTAGAGCTGCCAGCCTTCTGAGTTAACTCCAGAACTATGCAACTCAGTAACAAAACACTTGTGAGAGCACAGCATTTCAAGCAGTGCCAAGACAGAGATAAATAGTGTGGTCTTACTTAAAATGAGAGAATGAACTGGCTTTAAACACAATAAAAACAGAAACACTCTTCAGCTACAGAGCTAAAGACTGCCAAACAAATGAGAGAGGAAAAAAATCCTTTATGTGCTTTAACAGCATAGAAATAGCCTAAGATAAAAAAGACCCACCCCATTCTAAGAAACATGAAGACAAATATTTGAAATTGATCTATTTTACATTATTGATGGCAGGTAATTTTGAATTCCCAAGCTACAGTCAAGTCAGTGCCTCAGGATCTTTTTCCCCCACTTCTCTCTTAGGCCACAGTCATTATTACAGGACACACACACACAAATCTCTGAAAAGCACAGAACAACCCAAAAATATACACAAGGTTTTCAACACACATCTTTGTTTCCCTCCATAGCCCTCAATGAGAGAAGTAATCTGAAAATTTGTATGCTCAGGCCAGGCTGGAGGCAGACAGACCACTGAATTCCCTACAGCCTGGCCAGGATTATGCCAGTACATGGGACCACTTCTGGAAACCCTCTCCTCCTTGGGCTGGTGCAGCGTGCCCCTGCACGCCTGCTGTGCAGGGCAGGCAGAACTGCAGCATCTCTGCTCCCTCTCCCTTCGGCACAAAGGGACAGGAGAGCTCTGATGGGATACTGAACCCCATGGAAAACTGAAATGTGCTCTTTCCTTAGGATATTGGAGCAAGAGACAGGGTGAACAACTAGTTTCTGAGGCCAATTTCTGTTCCTGAGCTGCCCCACAATCAAACACCACACTACACTTCACTGTCGTGCTGACTACATCCAGCAGAGCTCTGCAAAGATGCAAGTAGTCACTGAGCCTCTGGTGTGAGGAGGGTGGGTGGAGGAAGGCATGAGGAATAGAAACAAAAACATTTTTAAAACCCCAATAAAATTACAAAAGCCCAATCTCTCTCCTTCTCAGCAACCCAAAGATCAAATGTCACCAGATAAGGAAAAAAGAAAAATCATTCCCCAACATTTACTGGCAAAGGGAAAAAGCAATCATTTATCACCTGTCAACAAGGACAAGCTAGGAAATGAGGATTTGGGGTTTTACCCCTGCCTATTGCATTTTTCTTCTTGACAACCAAACCAATCCATTTCCTGCTCCATCCCAACTAGGTCTGCCATTACTTTGGACTCACCACTAGCCCCCACCAACACATTTCACACTTTGCCTTCCTTCTTTTCATTACATTTACTCAAGCAAAGCAACTACAGTAGTTTGACTGTCAACAAGATTTACAGGTCCCTGAAAACCATAATCTTCCTTCTTTACATCCACTTTCAGATAATATAACTTTTCTTTACATAAATCATTTCCCATATGCAAATTTGCAGGACATTCAACTTGCAAAGATTTTCTTTCTTTGCTCAACCTGTCTTTTTAATATCAGACACTTTCCCCCTTCTCTTCCCCCTTCCTTTAGACACGTGTCTCCAGACTTAAGGTCCAATTATTTTCAGAATCCTCAGTGCACAATTTGAGGTGTGGCCTAAGTGATATATGAAGGCTTTCCCACTTTCCAGTTTAGATAAATCTTTTCCAGTTAAAGCTAGAAAATTAGAGGGACGCCTGTTTTATAATTCTCTGCAGCAGCGAGCACAGCATTCTCCTTATGCTTATACACTCACATTTGAGATTACTTCAAAGACTTGTTTCTTTGACCTCATGGAGTTCTGAGTGCAAGATACAGCACGTCTGAAACGGCTGATACACCCTTTCAACAACAAAATAGTTATTGCAGATAATTAAACAGATATAAGAGAAGGGCAGGTCTGGTATCGGCCTTTTCAAATCTCCAGATTAATCTCAACATCACCAGTGCAACTGATGTCAGATCTGCAACTGAGTCCTAGATTGCCTTTCTCCTTCATTTAATAGCTTATAACATGCTGACAAGACAGATACCAGAGCTGGTCTTCTAAGTTGGTGATTCGTAACTGGGCACTTCAATCTAAGCTTTCATTTTTTATAATGATAGGAATAAATGTGTGAAGCATTTTTAAGGAGTTCAGCATCTGTTAGAACCCTAAATACAAAGAGGGATAAAAACATGCACATTTCTGTATCTGTTGCTGAATAAGGTGTGATGTGATATGCAATTAACCATGAAGACAATGGATTTTCATTCTGTGCTTCTTTTATTCAGTGCTTTGATGGATAAGAAATAGACTCACTAAAAGACATGCACAACTTCTATATATTGAGAAGTCCTCAAATCTGTAACAGAAGCTTGTTCTGGATATTTTTTCTAATTTCCAGAAACTAGCTTAAGTAAGAAATTAATTGAAGAACAGGATTGAGCGATAGCAAGATTCCCAACTTGAAACAAACCACCAAAACTCTACCAGGATCACATACATAAATAATTACTTGGGCTGGTAATTCCTTTAAGTGTGGTTCCTGGACTGGCCTGGGGAAGCTGCCAACAGATGGCAATTCAAGAGTTGGCTATTTCCACTGCATTTTTTATCCCCCTCATTTCAAAACAGCTGGTGCACAGACCATTGAACAATATGCCTATTTTTTTTTTTTTTGGAAGAAAAAATTTACGAAATATTCAGTAAAGGTTATATTTTGTTATAGAACAGCATGTTCAGGGACTCCAGGACTCAGAACAGGGAGGAAGAGCACTTTTGAGAGCTGGTCAAAGCTAAACATGCTGTCATCTTGCAGAAGCTAAAAGCTTGCCCTATTTCCTTTAGCCCAGAAGTGATCAGTCAATTCTGAAGAATTTAGGAAACTCACCCTCCGTCATAAAATAGCTCTTCCACACCAAATACATGGAAGAAATGGGCCTGAAATTTGACGAAGGAAAACAAGATTTCTCTAGAATCCCCTGTTTGCTACAAGTCCTCCACAAATAAAGTGTAAAATTGAGTCAGACAAGCCTAGAGGAACCTCCACATTTTCTATTCCTGCATGTCAACACCACCTTCATAAGCCAGCACAGAAATTGATATTCAAGATGACAAAAGCTTCTAGATTGCTTCCTGAGTGAAGACAACCTTCATTAAAGACTGTCTGGTTATCCAACTCTTGCTGGGAGGAATTAGATTATCTTTATCAACCTTAGCTACATAGAAAAGCTCTTTCGTTTGAGTGTTTCTTGAAGTGCTTTTTACCAAAGGCTATATCCCAGATTAATTAATAGCTAGCAACTGAAAATAGTTTGCTGAACTAGCAGAAAAAACACTCAATAAAACAGCTCCATCTCCAAAAAAGAGACAGATTCTTCTGGCACTGATTTTATCTGAATTTGTGTTTTGGTCTTCATGGATAGGAAGTAAGATCAGAAGCTCCTGCCACCTTAGCCAGTCTTGGCTGGCAAACACTCCCTTGCCTTAAAAACACATATCAGAAGTCCTGGGGCAGATTTCTGTTTTGTGCTCTCATCTTTCAGTACTGGTTCTTCTGAAGGAGGGCTGTCTGTGTTCTTGCTGTCGATGCCTGCATGCAATCTTCATAGAGATTATGGAACTTTTTGCACTACTCTCAGGACAAAAGGGCAAGCTCTTATTTTCAGTGGAGACTCCCTTTTTGAAAAAAAAATTTAGACCTAGGATAAAGGTTTAAGTGGAAAATTAGTAGTGAAACCACTCATATGTGCTCATACAACTGTGATCCTGCAGGTGCATTAGAAAATGGAGCTCCATGTGTCAATTCCTGTAAAGTTTACAAGAGTAAACCTCTACCTATTCAAGATCCCTCTTAAGTCAAGGTCTTGACTGTCTCCAAAAGACAACAAATAGTGAAAGAGAGGAAAGCAGATGCCAGCTTTCCTTTTCTTGCAATATGAGAAGCAGCAGGACAGGTCAAACTGCAATAATAAACTCAGCGTTCCTAACAGGGGAAGCTCTTGACTGCACATGGGCTGTGAGAACACTGGTAAAGGGAAGAAGGTAAATTTGAATGGGATGTCAAAACTACCTATAATTCACCTGGCAAAAAATATGTTGGAGAAGTTGGTGAAATTAATATTTGTAAAGTTAAGTCAAGTGTGATCAGAAATTGGGCACCATGTAGCAGTTTCTGCCTACATCTGCCTTCTCTGGAGCCTGTGAAGTATCCAGCAGAGACCACTCTCAGAGGCTGTGCAACATGCAAGACAGAGCCAGTGTCTGACTCGATAGATTGCCTAAACCAAATCTTGAATAAATCAGCCCAAAACAACCTAAATGTTGAATCTTGATAAAATTCTAAATCAAATACTTGCAAAAAATACAAAATATTTTGCCCCAAATAAGAAATATTTGCCCCTTGCATAGTAATGTGGCAAAACAATGACTATTTTCCAAGTGTGAGCCTTTGACTGGTCTTTAATAAAACTGAATAAGCTTACATATGCATGCTTAGATACAAGGGGATAACCCCCCCCCCCCCCATAAAGGTGCTGAAATACTAGGATGTATCATGGGAGCATATACTTTATCTGAAAACACATTAAAGATGTTACTGAAGTCCAATATATGGGTTAGCATAAATTGCTATTAAAAAAAGCAATAAAGGGAGGGAAGGGCCTTAAGTATTTGCAGATTTTAAAGAAAAGAAAGGAAAACATAAGGAAGGGGAAAAGTTCCATATTTAGACCTGGTGCTAAAATGTGTATTATTAGCAGTATTGCAGATGCTGAGCTTGGAGCTTACTGAGGTGGGAGGGGGGAGATAGAATAAATACTTCTACTTCTTTGAAGTACAAGTCAACACCACATTCCTTCAGTAGCTATGTAGGTACTGCCACTTGCATTTTGGGGAATCATACCTAGGCTTCTGGTGAAGTTTTCTGGTTTTCCACTTTGAGACAAAATCTCTTCAGAGCACACTGGATACACATTACTGTATCCATTCCCATGTCCCCTTCAGTACCAAAGTGTTACAGCGGTTTCAGACTTATTTATCACTTTTTTCCCATGTTCCCATCTCACTTCAATGGGTCTAAAATAATAGAAGTTATCACCACAAGAAATGGGATGTACCACAGGTTCTGGCAGAACATGAAGTGAAGGCTGAAAGCAACCTTTGGGCTGTGGTGAAGAGTCACCCAGAGACAGCCTAGGAGCAAGGTTTTGTTTGGGTTTAGAGTCTAGGAAGGACAAGGCAGTTTACTTATATGGCACATTAATATAACCAAGATTTTTCCAGTTAGACTGTATTTATCAGACTTAAAAAACGCTTACCTTTTCTGAATAGTTCCTGAAGGCTCTCTGCACTTTGATTCAAAATAGCCCATATTTCCTCTTCTTGCAATGGTCCCCCCCGAACCTCCAGAGCCTCTGCTAGTGACACATGCATGTTACCTGGGAAATAAACAGACTGATGTAAGCCTAAATAGCATCTTTTCTTCTCCATGCATGTAGCATTCAAGTAGTAATAACCCATGTTCAACTCTCAGCCACTAATATTCTCCAGCATTAGCAGAATCCATCAAATATAAATGATACAAAATGTTCCCTATGGTGATAAAAAAATTTTGAGCACCTAACTCAGGTTAAGAAAATAATGTTCCATATTAATATCATAGGCTCTACATCCATAAATTCAACAAGCTGGCACTAATCCACATGCTATGGGCAAGAGCACGTTTATATTGCTCTGTTCTGTTCATATTGCTCTGTTTATAAAGATTACAGATCGTAGTTACAGGTTTATTAAAATAAATCAGCTAGTAACATGATTTTGACAGTTTTAAGGGAAGCTGCTGTTAGAAAAGGAAGCTCTTCCACCTTTCACAGTGTTGTTGATAGCATCTCATGACCATATTATGAGAAGCACTGGCAGCAAATATGCACACAAGCAAAATAGCAATGGAACAGCTTCTCCTTGCAGTTAAAAATAAATAAAACTGTTAGCAGCACTCTACTTATTACAACCCCAGAAAACAAATAAAGATTTCTTTCCCCAGATAAATAAGGTTATGCTTCATTATTTTTTGAAAGAGCTAAACCATTTTCACCACACTACAATATAATATTCTGTTGTCCAAAACCATCTGAAAACTGAAGACTGCATCCCTAAATATTCTGGCAAAGCAAAACTTCATCCATTTTATAAGCTCAGGAGCAAACAGACTATGTCTGCTTAATTACTCCAGCTTTCTATGGAATGTTCTCAGACTGAGCAATCATGCCAATTTGTATTTCTGATCAGGATGCAGCTGCAGAGGCTTATCTCTGTGCTTCTCTCCAAAGCCCAAAGAATAAAAACTTGAGGCAGTGAGCTGTAATAAGAGCCTAAGGTGTACTGTCAGTCATCACTGGTAAGTTTGTTGTATGTCTCAAAGGCTCCAAAGTTGCTGCTGGAAGTGGAAAATACAGTTCCACAAACAGTGTTTATGGTCTGGAGACCAGTAACTGATATCAACAGTTTGAGATGACCCAATGGTACTGTTGGAAGCTCCTCCTCCTTCCTGTAAATCAGATACCCAGAGCTTCCCCATCACACCACACAATCCTGGCTCAGGTGTAGGATACTAACCTAACAAATTTAATGAAAAACAGGCTTACAGGCTATATGTAGTTTCCCAACTGTCTAGGCAGCTGTATGCCTTCCATGTGTTTTTAACTACAGATAACCAGGCTTATACATATATAATGGCAACATAAAAGGCTGAATATCCTGCAGTTTCTAACTGAAAACATGGGGTTTGACAATACTTGCTGAAATACTAGCCTTTTCACCTAGAACTCCATACTACTACTCAAAAATTACACATTGCTGGCTGCTTTTCAGCACAGCTAATTGTTCCTTATTTCACAACTTGCCAGTTTGTAGCATTCAATTACTGTGCATATTTACTAAGCCAGATATATTTTCAACAATTAGTGTTCAAAAGTCATCATCAAAAGACAGTGGAAGGGAAAGCAGACTGAGATACATTTAAAAGAAAGATGAAACCTGAATTCCCAAAGAGAAAAATAAATAAACCATGAAAAATGGCAAGGGACCAATGCAGACTTGCAATAAATGGATGGAAAACCAGAGAAAATTGTGTTTCCAGTCAGCATGAGATTCACATACACCGGGCACAGAGCGAGTGTCTGGTCTCACTGTTCCGGGAAATTCTGTGATTTCATGCCACAGTCTCACATTTCAGTAGGTACATCTGGAATCAAGCTATCTGGATTATTCAGATTAAAAATTCTCATCTTCTCCTAGGGACTAAAACTACATGAACTCCAAATGAAAACTTTCTGTGATAAATATTCTAAAGGAAAATGCCAAGCATAAGAACAACAATCCCCTCTCCCCTATCCCAAATCCTTCTCTGCCACTCCCCATACTGCAAAATCCTGCATCCTTTCAGCTGTGACTAAATAGTGTGTGGACTGTTCTGTAACAGATATAAGCCAATTCCCTATTTAACAACACAACGGAGACCATAAGCATGTCTGCTCAAACTCCCAAACATATTACATCAACAGTAAAAGAATCCTACAGCAAACAATTTCTTGATCACAGTACGAAGCAGTATGAGTATACACACCCAGCCCTCTGCTGTAGCAGTGCATTTTACAGATAGCAGGTGCTTGACAAATAAAAATCAAACACACAACACAACAAAACCAAACTATTTCAAACTGATTTCGAAAGCCCAAGCACAATCCATCACAAAACCAGTCATTAAAAGAACAGCCAAATGCAAAATGCCACAAGCTGGGATTTGAGTGGGATTCTCATTGAAGCATATCTGTTTCACTAACTTTTTGGTAACTTTCTCTGTGACTTTCTTCCTCAAAATTATCTTTAAGCTGCAGTGCTTGTCTGCCTCAGCAATGGGCAGACCAACATGCTGGTTATGAGGATTAAAAAACCTCCCACAAAATGTTTCTGTAGCACCAAGGAACTGACTGAGGGAAGCTGGGGAAAAGCTGTTGGCAGGGAAATGGAAGGCCAGGTTTCTCCTCCTGTCCAGCCCACCTGCCATCAGCCAGGCACTGATTTGGAGCTGACAGTGGAAGTGCCTGGCTCAATACATGTCTCCCCCACCAGTCTGTCTTGGATGTTTTTCACAAGAAGATATTTGTAGGAATGCTGACGTTTGCAATGCACAGCTCCTCCAAATTTGCTGTCTCCTTGGATTCTGGGAACCCTCAAGAGTGTGTGGTCCTTTGTGAATACAGAAACCCTAAATGCTCCATTCATACAAAAGCTTTTGGTTCTATGCAATACCCGAACATTATGATAAATTGCAATATAAGGACTATACTGAGTAATTTCTCTAAGAGAAAAACATTTAAAGTTTTTGTAGAACAGCGTAACAAAACCATGCTCCTGGCAGTCCCTGTGTTTTTCAGAGTTCCAGGCTGACCAGCAAAGAAACCTAGATGCACTGGTAAAGTTCTCTATGGACTCCTAGTTAGTTCATGTCAAGCCACTTTTTTGCAATAAGTCCTCTCCCTGTCTCCTCTTTATCCAAGGAAAGCAAGATCTGGAATTCTGTGCCTTGCTCCTTTCACTTTTTGCAATAAGGATGCACAGACTAAAGACCATGGAAAGGTGCACCTTCCAAGGACAAGCTCACTTCCCCTTTTCTTGGGACAGAATTATGATGGCATCTTAATATGAGGCCACACAGAGATAGGATCAGAGCAGGCAAGTCTCAGGGTTAGCTGGCATGAGCTCCACAGGAACTGCTAGAGCATGGAGTACTCATACACCCAAAACTCGCATGAGATCACAGCCACAGGACAGCCAAACAGGGAGATTCCCACAGCAGAGAGCACAACACAGTGTAGGAAGGCAATGGACACATTAAAACAGTTAGCACTGGAGGTGCACAGACATGAACCTGACAGACTGCTTGTTTTGTGGCAGAATTTACTCCCAGACCACACAGGAATACTATTTCCACAGGAAGGGAGTTGCATCCTATGGAGGCAACTTTTATGCTCCAGGACAAGAGAGTAAATTCAGGTGTAAATAATTTGTACTAACAAACTCTGAGTGCTAATTTCTTGGCACCACTCAGCCCTAAGCAGGCAGCACAGTCACAGGGAAAAATGTTGCCTAAGCCAGAGGCCTCCCCCATATTTCAGGCACTTTTTGAAAAGAGCCTGTCTACCTCACGAGGACCAGCTGCCAGCTCCGCCCTCTAGAATATAGGTCACACTCTCCCTGCTGAGTGGGATGGGGCTCTGGCTCTTGCCTGAAAACAAGCTCAGTGACCTCTTAGCTTTAAAAAGTCTAATTTTAAAGTCCCAGTAACCCATGTTAAAAGCACACCACGTATGGAACATCCAGACAGTGCCAACCCCATGAGGCAGCCTTCCACTTGCTCTGGTCCAAGGAAGACAGAGAGCACAACAGGAGCAACTCCTCACACCAAGTAATTAGGTCAAAATGACTGTTTGCAAGGTTTATACTTTTTTCTCTGCCACTTACAAAGTCTTTTTAATGGCTTGTGTATGCAGAAGTTAAATGCTTAGAATTCTCATTTCCCCCAACCACCACCATTTCTCCTCATATGTTATTTTAAATTTCAAATTTTAAATTGAAGGTCTCCAACAGCAACAGAAGAATTTGGAAAAATTTAAAGGCCTATTCTTTCCAAATTTTATTGAACTGTCACTAGCCAAAATATTAAGAAGCTTTTGCCATAACAGTGATTATTAAAGACTGTAATACAATATTTTTTGTCAAAAAGTTCCTAGAAACAGACTAAAAGCCAAAAGGCTAAATTGCTTCAGCTTAACTGATGCTTGACAACTTGTTGTTTTGGTTTTGGTAACATATCCTTTGCTTTTTTCCTTACCTTGTGCATCAACATTTTTCCCCAATGTTGTAACTTCAGAACAAAAACTTTTAGTCAAAAGCTGTGCTTTGACATCAGCTAACTGAAATGTCTGCACTACCTCACACTTGATATTTCATAGGAATATGATGCCAAGAAACATCAAAAGCAGCTGCTCTGGCATACACTCTGCAAGTGTTTTTAGATGGGAAAGAAACAGTGAAAAAAATCTAGAATACCAAACAGTGTTAGAATTTCTCAATAATCACATAAAATACTCTGATATTAATTTTTATCCTTTGGCAAAATCTAAAATAAAGAAGAGAGAGCAAGAAGGCTCTCTATAAATACAAAATACTTTCTGTGGAGAAAAAAACCCACCTTATTTGTCCCATGTAAAACACTGTTAGCTGACCTTAACTATCCTGAATATGAGCAATATTGCCCCCTTGCTCCACAGGGACACTTGGGCAAAAGGTGGCAGGTTCTGAGGAGGCTTTTCTCTTAGCAGATAAGCCAAGACCCCCTTCTTGAAGGGGGCTTCTTCCTCTGGAGATATAAATGCCT